TTTACCAGGTTAGCATAAGCCATCTGTCTAGGTCTCTCTGGAGCAATGAGGATCATGGAAATTGGCCAAGAAAAAGTTTTAGGGGAGGAAAAGCATAGGTCAACATGTCATCTGTGCATCCAATACAGAAACCCTATACCTGGAGACAAGCCTGTCCAATCTGATGTCACACCTGATGGCTAGAAGGTCCAACATTCAGCATCTTCAATCTGTGACAGATTCGTCAACAACTCCAGGTGTGGTGACCACTTCCCCAGACCCGGACGCTTCTGGCTGAGGAAGTAGGCCTGCCCAACGTCTATACCTGGGCAGAAAAACCTGGAATATAACGTTCTGCCAGAAAGAGATCCAAACTACCAGTCTTGCCATGGTGAGACTTCTGATTCTCCCTGATCACCCAAACTTTTAGGATGTCGATTGAAAGATGAGACTCCCCTGACAAGCAAGTCCAAAACACTAACAAGGTGCCCAAGATTCCTCCCTAGCCTGACATCCATCATGAAATCTTTCAAAATGGGGAAACGAAGGACTTTCAAAATCAGAGACAGCTTCCTGAGCCACCAGACCAGGCACAACTTGTTTCTACGTGCCAAAAGAATTGATCTGTCCAGGGAGCTGATTGACCTGAAGAGTGAAACTCCAGTTGCAGCCCTGGGATACGACCTCGTGCACACAAGTATCAGAGATGCAAGTTGTCCAAGAATGCGGAAAAAAAGCTTGTCTATGGATTCTGCAGACTGAGTGTAAGACTACAGGGGTAGACTGGGAACCTAGCTTAGAGGGTCTGGACGAAGAAGTGAACAAAACAAAAACATTCTTAACAACCGGATAGAGGGGGGGGGGGGGGGGCAGAGAGCGGTGACTGACATTCCAGCTCTCTGCTCAGAGCGGCTGTAAGAAGTCATTGATCAGCATTAGAGCTGCCGGGGGACAGATGCAGCATCGGCCTGACGCTGCATTTACCCAAGTATAAATAGGGGGGACAAAAAGCCATACTTCTCTTTGAACCACTTGCCATCCTGAGGATTTACCCCTCCCTTAATGGCCAGATCTCTTTTGCTATTCGGCGCTACACTATTTCAACTGATAATTGTGTGGTCATGCAATGCTGTACCCAAATGAAATTTCCGTACTTTTTTTTCACAAAAATAGAGCCTTCTTTTGGTTGTATTTGATCACCTGTGTGTTTTTTATTTTTTGCTCTATAAACAAAAAAAGACCGAAAATGTTTAAGAAAAAAAACTATATTTTTTTTACTTTCGGCTATAAAAAATATATAGTAAACTCAAAGTTTGTTATAAATTTAGGCCAAAATGTATTCCGCTGCATGTTTTCTTATCCCAATAAGTGTATATTGATTGCTTTGTGTGAAAGTTATAGTGTCTACAAACTATGGTATAAATACTGCAATTTACACCATTTTTTGCTATACAGCGCTGCACTAGTTTAACTGACAATTGCGCGGTCATGCAATATGGTACATAAATGAAATTTACATCCTTTTTTCCCACAAATACAGATTTCTTTCATTTGTATTTGATCAATTATGCGCTTTTTATTTTTGGCGCTATAAACAAAAAAGACCGAAAAAAAAAATGTTTTTGTCATTTTCCAAAAACTTGCAGAAAAAAAAAAAAAAAAAAAAAAAAAGAAATCTTCCATGGACTCAATATGCCTCTCAGCAGATAGCTTAGGGTGTCTACTTTCCGAAAAGAGGTAATTTGGGGGTGTTTGTACTGTCCTGGTATTTTAGCACCTCAAGAAATGTGATAGCATAGTTTGTAGACGCTATAACTTTCACACAAAGCAATCAATATACACTTGTTGGGATTTTTTACCAAAAACATGTAGCAGAATACATTTTGGCCTAAAGTTATGACTAACTTTGAGTTTACTATATATTTTTTAAAGCTGAAAGTAAAAAATATTTTTTTAAACAATTTTTGGTCTTTTGTTTATAGCACAAAAAAGAAAAAGCGCACAGGTGATCAAATACCACCGAAAGAAAGCTCTATTTGTGTGAAAAAAAGGAAGTAAATTTAGTTTGGGTACAGCATTGCATGACCATGCAAATACCAGTTGAAATAGTGCAGCGCCGAACAGCAAAAAAAAGGAATGGTCATTAAGGGGGGTAAATCCTCAGGATGGCAAGTGGTTAAATTACACACAGGTGGACTCTATTTAATAATTAGGTGACTTCTGAAGATTTTAGTTAGAAGTATCAGAGTAAAAATTATTGCTCTCCCACCTATGTAGTCTGACTATCAGAGGGCAAATTGGCCAGTGTTTTGTTTGTGGGAGGATTTATAAATCCACAAACCCCCATAGTGCCCAAACTCCTTTGAAGTCTTTGATAGCCGAATCTTTTTTGAATGTAGCCTTAGAAATAAAGTCAAGTGTGAACGAGCCCTTAACGTGGCTTAAAAAAAAAAAAAAAATCAGCATTACAAATACATTAAATCTTTTAAATCACATGCATGGGTGATGCCTTAACCTGCATGAGAAGTTGAGCACCAGTAAAATGAACACCTGCAAAAGTGAAAAAAAAAAAAACAAAAAAAAAACAAAACAAAACACACCATTCATTAATAAATGACCAATCATTCCCTGGCCTGTAAAACAGAGTAGCCAGGCATACCAGGGACCTGGACAAAAAGTATGGTCAGGACTGTATTTGGTAAAGGACTTCTGTAAGCATTCCTGGCTGGGAAGTAGTCATTTGTGACAGGAGGAGACTGTTGTGGCACAAGTAGTCATTTTTGAGGATTCAAGTTGGATCAACATTGCTGGGTGACATGATTGATATTGGATTTACTCAGGGGAACATTGCTTATTTAAAAAAAGTACTTTTTTTTTTTTATTGGTGTCTATTTTCTTCAACCTTTGTTTTATTGTGAATCGTGTAACAAGGGGCACCCAATGCTAAGGCATGTGGCCTGATATGATTCAGGAAAGGCGAGGGGGGGGGATGAGGAGGGATACAAAGCTGCCTCCCTGTGTTCAAATACATCCCTTCGGATACCTGCCGGCTTGTTTACAATATGAAATGAGCTGATGGGAAGCTGTCATTTAGTAGTAGTAAAAATGCCACTAATGAAGCACCTGCCAGAAACCAGAGTGTGGGCAGGTAGGAGAACTATGCATACATGGCCATTTTGTTCATCTGTGAACAAGCTGGGTTTTGGTCAAACCCACAGCCAACCCAAACCTCATCCTTGTGATAAGGAAGAGAAATCCCTGTTCATTTCTATGCTAAGCTGACTGCTGTCAAGTTACTCCTTGGATATTTCAAGAAATTATACTTGAAAGAAATCAGTTCAAGAGACTAGTCATATAAATGAACACAGAACAGCTCAGCTTTTATTTTCTATTACTCTTCAGTACAAATTTTTTTGTATAATTATCAACTACTTAACAAAAAAAAAAAAAATCAGTAAAGTAAGCCCTGAACACCACATCACTGCCATCTCTAACTCTGATATAGGCAACAAATATTTACTAACCTTGTTCACATGAAGGCTTCACTTCTTGGAGGTAGTCAATGGCAAATGAATCTACTGGCCTCTCATCAAAATCTATGAAAAAAAAATATATATACACCATGTTAGCAAACAATGTGCATAGGTGCAAATAATAGGCCCTATGGTAGGAGTAACCAGAAAGCTATGCTTTTTGTTTTTAGTTCATTTTTTAATTAAATCTGCACTCCAGGCTGGTGTAAAATGTAACAATGTAGAATGCTTTGTCTTGGGGAATTGGAAAAAGTACAAAATACTTGCCCTATTTCCACTCACCCAAGGATTACCTTCAGGCTTACAAAGTTGTACAGATGCTCTCCTGTACTGAAATTGCTTACTGTGAGCTTCTCAATGTGCAGTAGAAGCTGTAGTAAGTTAGATAGAGCCTGCCTCATTCCCTGGCTGGAGGACATCCAAAATCATCTACTTTCAGACTGACATTTCATCAAGGCATTTTGATATTTACATTGTTCATCCACGACAGCACACTGCTTACATCAGGGCTGAGGGCTCTTACAAGGAGTACTAAGGCAGGGTACTGTTATGTTTTCAGGAAGTTATATACAGCACCCCACCAGCCCCTTGCACCAGCCATGATCGGTGTGCACTGCTCGGAGAATCACACAGACCCAGTGATTACCCCATTGGGTCTAAAAAAAGGCATCAGTGAAAACGGAAAGGTTTTATTTAAATGTTATTTGCATGTTGACTGAGGATGGGAACGGAAGGGGGGAGGACCAGGAAGGACAAAATATAAGCAGGTTAAAATCAGCTTTACATTTTATTACTTACATAATGAATCACCGACGTAATGGAGAACAAAGCAACAGATTAATTTTAATGCTTGCTCCTGAAGCAGATTTCAATCACCACCCCTCTGGCAGGGTGTAGGAGAGTCCACTCCTCTCAAGCACAAGTGCTTGGTATTAAGCAGAATTGCAGGTACACAGAAATGAGAAAAATCTGATGCTCTACGCAATGCCTCTTTAACCACTTGCCTACCCGGCACTTATACCCCCTTATTTACCAGGCCAATTTTCAGCTTTCAGTGCTGTCGCACTTTGATTGACAATTGCGCGGTCCTGCAAGATTGTACCCATATGAAATTATCATTTTTTTCTCACCAATAGAGCTTTCTTTTGCTGGTATTTAATTGCTGCTGGGAACTTTACTTTTTGTGCTATAAGCAAAAAAACTGCAAAAAAAATTGGAAAAAAAAAAAAAAAAAGTTTGTTTCTATTATAAAATTTTTCAAACAGGTAATTTTTTTCCTTCACTGATGTGCGTTGATGAGGCAGCACTGATGGGCAGCACTGATAGGCACTGATAGGCACTGATAGGCAGCACTAATGAGGTGTCACAGATAGGTGGCACTGACTGACATCACCGCTGGGCACAGACTGGCACCACCGCTGGGCACAGACTGGCACAACCGCTGGGCACAGACTGGCACAACCGCTGGGCACAGACTGGCACAACCGCTGGGCACAGACTGGCACAACCGCTGGGCACAGACTGGCACAACCGCTGGGCACACTGCTGGGCGCACAGGTGGGCGCACTGCTGGGCGCAGGTGGGCAGAACTTGTGTGTGGCACTGCTGGGCACCGATCATCAGGGCACTGATGATCAGTGACCCTGATGATTGGTGCCGATCCCCGCTCTGACAACTGCCGGTTTTCAGCAGTACTTTCCTCACGATCTGACAGCGTGAGGAAAGTGCAGCCGAGAACCGGCATTTGCATTTCCCAGTGATCAGCTTGTCATTGGACACGGCTGATCACGTGGTAAAAGGCCGCTGTGATTGGCCTTTTACCACATCACATGATCAGCTGTGTCCTTAGGACACAGCGATCACGAAGATCGCCGGGGGACGCGCAGGAGAGCGCATTCTGGGAGGACGTCATATGACGTCCACCCAGAACTGGCCGGCCGCAGTGCAGCCGTCATTCGGCTATCTGCGGTCGGCAAGTAGTTAACACTGCTCTGTTGAAAGGAAAAAAAAAAAAAAACACACTAGCTTTTTTATGTGGTTTTGGTGCATTTTCTAGTTGCCTGCCCCAAATCATGCAGCTGTGAATATGGACACCAAAAAAACAACCATTGCGCAAATTTGATGCGTTTTTCATTCATTTCAATGGGGATGTGCGTTTAAGTCTATTTTTTTTTTAAACATGCACCAAAAATGCAGTACACTAGTGTGAAGAGTTCAATAGGATTTAAAGGGATACATTTTTCATGCATTTTTTTCTGCTTTTTAAACTCAAAAAGGTGCATCAAAAACTGATCAGTGTGAAAGGACCATAAGCCCCTGATGTTTATGCAGGACTTACTGCAACTGTTTGTAAACAAAGGGAAGGCAAGTCTAAGCAGATATGCAGCAGAATACGGGGCGTTTCACACTGTAGCACTTCTAAAAACGCGCTGTGTGTTAAAAAAATAAATACAACATATATTCCATGAATTCTGTATTTTTTTTTTTTTCAACAATGTGCATTGGGGCTCTGCCCAAAAGGTCATTCATCAAATGTACCTCCTTTAATGTAAAAGTCCTTAATGTCAATGAAAAAAGATCAAGATTATGGTTAGACCTTGGTAAAATGGGGAGCAGTATATCCACTTTAAAAAAAAAAAAGATTAAGTGCCTAAATTGAGGAATATGATTTCTGGTCACTTATCCCTGCCCTTCACCCTTGCTGAAGGCTAAAGGGATCTGTATTCTCATTGATTTTACGGTCCCTTGGAAACTGTCCTCATATTTAGTCGATGAGCTTTTAAGGAACATTCTGGTTAAAGGTTTAATCGCCATTACTCTAGAAACGCTACTTAATGTTTATTTTCTAAATGCAGACCAATTACAATTTCTTAAAAACTTCTGTGGTGCTGGAACACAGTGAGGGCCTTTTGATTCAAGGCAGAGATTCCAACTTTACATACAACCCATTGATGTCTCTAGGTGGAGGGGGCTCACGTTTGTCTCACAATTGTCCAAAATGTCTTGGCATGCTGACGCCTGAAGAGTTGCCTTCACTGGAACAAAGGGGCCAAGCCCAACCCCAGAAAAGCAACCCCACACCATAATCCCCCCCCTCCACCAAACTTTATACTTGACACAATGCAGTCAGACAAGTAATGTTCTGGCAACAGCCAAACTAAGACACGTCCACCGGATTGCCAGAGAAGCGCGATTGGTCATGCCCAGTGAACACATCTCTGCTGCTCTAGAGCCCAGTGGCGGTCTGCTTTACACCACTGCATCTGGCGCTTTGCATTGCACTTGGTGATGTAAGGCTTGGATGCAGCTGCTCGGCCATGGAAACCCATTCCCTGAAGCTCTCTACACACTGTTGTGTTAATTTGAAGGCCACACCAAGTTTGGAGATCTCTAGCTATTGACTCTGCAGACAGTTGGCGACTTCTGCACAATGTGTGCCTCAGCATGCACTGACCCCACTCTCGTTTTACGTGGCCTACCACTTTGTGGTGCTGCTGTTCCCAGTTGCTTCCACATTGTTATAATACCACTAACAGGTGACTGTGGAATATTTAGTAGCCAGGAAATGTCACGGATGCACTTACTGCACAGATGGCAACCTATCACGGTACCACTCTGAATTCACTGAGCTCCTGAGAGCGACCCATTCTTTCACAAAATGTTTGTAGATGCGTCCATAAGCAAAATGTTTACAATTCCATGAATCTATTTCTTCAAATTGTGAAGTGTATATATGGAATTGTGAATATTTTGTTATGAGCACTAATTTATGGACACAAGGACTGTACAAAACAATTTCATCTTTAAGTGGACAACCGGAGTCACAATAAAGTGCTCAAACCTTTTTAATCATATCGTCTATCGGCCCAGGAGGACAGGGTTATTCCAGCTGTTGGGGATTGTTGTGTGTATGAGATTTGGGTTGGGAGGTGTTGGGATGCACCTAAGCGTTTCATACTAGATTCTTACAGGTACACCGACTAGTGAAGAGAGTGAAATGGGATGGGGGTGGGGAGGAGGAGGATAAGCAGAACTTCTCTTTTTGGGTGAAGTTCTATACTGCAACCAGCATTCTTGATATCACCCAGGGTTAAGCCCTGGTTCACACTAGTGCGAGGTGCGGAAAACCTGCAATCTGTGCGCATTTCCCGCACTGCATTCAAAACACACTGCCCTTGTGATCTGCAGCAGGTATCAGAGCAATCTTAACATCGCAAACGCAGTGTGTTTGCCTGCACCAGATAGCATGGTACAAAACTACCATGCAATCCAGCTATAGTAAGTTTCCAAAAGTAGTACGCGCATGCACTACTTTTGGTACAAAGCAGTGCAATTTGAGCCCATTCAAAATGTTAATTGAATGTGAATTGAACACTGAATCGCACGTGATTTGCATAGGCATGCGATGTGCATTCCTGTGCGATTCACAGTGTGAACCTAGACTTAATCTTAGGTAGTTGTTCCTAAATGCTACAGGTGGTGGCTCTCCAATAAAGCAGGGTGGATAAAAATTAATGATTAACAAAAAAAAAAAAAAAAAAAAAAGATTTTTTTTTTAATTTAAATCGGATTTTTTTTAATAAAATGCTTTTTGAGGAAAATATATTACCATCCAAAAGGTTATTCCATCATGAAATAAAGATTAGTTTTTTAATTATGTAGAATAAGGCTGTATAGGTTTAATTTTTTCGGTAAATAAATTCCATGAATCCATTCACAATGTCATGCTCTTCCAGAGGTTTTTGTAAGATTATTGGGCAGTTTCTCTGCCTACAAGATATTATCACAAATGCTTGGTTTACTTTTGCAGTTCTCAAAACTGAATTTGACTCAGCGGAGATCACATGCCTCTTCACAGCAAAAATGTTATAACATGAACAGAGTTAAGAAAAAGACCTTCATCCTAACTTCTACAAACCTATGAATACAGAATCAACCCCTTCAGTGCTAAGTTTCAAGAAGTTCAGTGAATAGAATAGAAACAATATTTTTCTGATTGTTTGGAGTGGAATAGATCTGCACAAGAAGAAAGTGAAACTAAGTGTGAGGAGGAAGGGGCTGACAGTCTTAGCACAGATATGATAATGGCCGGGATAGGTTCCTTTTATTTTAAACCTCTACATTGAGCTTAGAGATGCCCACAACATAAGAAAAACCAGTTAAAAATAAACCCTCTAAATACACATCATAAAACAAAAAGCCTATCGAAGAAGTAGACATCATTAACATAATGAAGTAGCTGAGTATTCCTTACATTGCTTAGAAGTATATCAAAAGCCATTTTTTTTATTTTGAAAGAAGCAGACAATGGTTAAAAGACTATGTCTCTAAACTTAGGCCCTTTGATTGCTTCTATCTGGCCCATGAGGCATTATTCCCCCCACTGAGAGCAACAGTGGTGCATAGTTCCCACCACTGACAGTCAATGGGGAACTATTCCTCCCACTGATAGCAATCACGGGTCACTATTCCTCCCACTGGCACCAATCACGGGTCACTATTCCTCCCACTGGCACCAATCACGGGTCACTATTCCTCCCACTGGCACCAATCGTGGGTCACTATTCCTCCCACTGGCACCAATCGTGGGGCACTATTCCTCCCACTGGCACCAATCGTGGGGCACTATTCCTCCCACTGGCACCAATCGTGGGGCACTATTCCTCCCACTGGCACCAATCGTGGGGCACTATTCCTCCCACTGGCACCAATCGTGGGGCACTATTCCTCCCACTGGCACCAATCTGGGGCACTATTCCTCCCACTGGCACCAATCGTGGGGCACTATTCCTCCCACTGGCACCAATCTGGGGCACTATTCCTCCCACTGGCACCAATCGTGGGGCACTATTCCTCCCACTGGCACCAATCGTGGGGCACTATTCCTCCCACTGGCACCAATCGTGGGGCACTATTCCTCCCACTGGCACCAATCGTGGGGCACTATTCCTCCCACTGGCACCAATCGTGGGGCACTATTCCTCCCACTGGCACCAATCGTGGGGCACTATTCCTCCCACTGGCACCAATCGTGGGGCACTATTCCTCCCACTGGCACCAATCGTGGGGCACTATCCCTCCCACTGGCACCAATCGTGGGGCACTATTCCCAATGGCACCAATCGTGGGGCACTATTCCTCCCACTGGCACCAATCGTGGGGCACTATTCCTCCCACTGGCACCAATCGTGGGGCACTATTCCTCCCACTGGCACCAATCGTGGGGCACTATTCCTCCCACTGGCACCAATCGTGGGGCACTATTCCTCCCACTGGCACCAATCGTGGGGCACTATTCCTCCCACTGGCACCAATCGTGGGGCACTATTCCTCCCACTGGCACCAATCGTGGGGCACTATTCCTCCCACTGGCAATCGTGGGGCCTATTCCTCCCACTGGCACCAATCGTGGGGCACTATTCCTCCCACTGGCACCAATCGTGGGGCACTATCCTCCCCTGGCCCACTGGCACCAATCGTGGGGCACTATTCCTCCCACTGGCACCAATCGTGGGGCACTATTCCTCCCACTGGCACCAATCGTGGGGCACTATTCCTCCCACTGGCACCAATCGTGGGGCACTATTCCTCCCACTGGCACCAATCGTGGGGCACTATTCCTCCCACTGGCACCAATCGTGGGGCACTATTCCTCCCACTGGCACCAATCGTGGGGCACTATTCCTCCCACTGGCACCAATCGTGGGGCACTATTCCTCCCAACCAATCGTGGGGCACTATTCCTCCCACTGGCACCAATCGTGG